GGGCAGTTCTACTGTCACATGGGGTCACTATGAGTCAGGCTGACAACACCCAACAGCAACAACAGGGTAACACTGTTTACATTTAACTGCCTACTCAGGCATCTTCTCTTATCCTAAGCAGACTTCTTTTACTGAACCCCTGTGGTTACTAAGGCCCAAGCCCTTGTCTTGTTGCTCCAGGAAGGAGAAGGAGAAAACAGCCTAGAATTTCAAAGTCTTTGTTCAGCTTCAAGGCTCAAAGGGAACTTTTTTGAGTCTTGACAGTGAGGCTTTGCTGACAAAAAAATATTGCTTGTCTTTAAATTCCAAATGCTCTTTACAATAGGAGGTAACTTCTGTCCCGCCCTGCTCTTTGGAGGAGTCTCTGCAGAAGGAGAGTCTCAGCACATAACACTGTCAACCTTCAACCCTTGCCCTCATCTCCAGGCAAAGGAGGTCTGCCCAGAAAGAGGCAGGAACACCCTCCCGAACTGACGTTGACAGTCATTCATCCAAATGCTTTAGGGAACAAGAAGGGGAAGCCCTGAAAGACTGAACATCAGTCCAGCTGAAGTCTGTCTTTACAATCTCACCCGTTCTCCACCACGGGAATAGAGGATTCAGCGCAAGATGATGGCTACCAAAAAATAAAGAAGGCAACTGATTTCTGGGCTAAGTGGGTGTAGTTTCTAAATGTTTGATGTAGTTTCTAAATGTTTGACCCCATCTGACTTTAAAACATTACTGATCTAAAGATCACCAAGTATAGATAATCCTAGCAGTCTGCTATGATGTATTAATGTCAACGAGTGCCAGACCTCAGAGGTGACACCAGAGTGGAGAACCGGCCTCCAGCACACACACTTGTCAAACAAAACACAGATCTAGATTTTTTTATTTCATTGTGCTTTAGGTGAAAGTTTACAGCACAAATTAGTTTTTCATTTAAAAATTTATACACAGTTTGTTTTTGTGACACTGGTTGCGATCCCTGCAATGTGTCAGCATTGTCCCCTTTTCCCTTTCCACCCTGGGTTTGTCCAGTTTTCCTGTCCCTTCCTGCCTTCTCATCTTTACTTTTGGGCAAGTGTTGCCCGTTTGTTTTCATACTCTTGGTTGAACTAAGAAGCATGCTCCTCTGTGTGTTATTGTTTTACAGGCTGCCTAATCTTTGGCTGAAAGGTGGACTTCGGGAGTGGCTTCAGTTCTAAGTTAGAAGGGTATCCGGGGGCCATAGTCTCAGGGGTTCCTCCAGTCTGTCAGACCAGTGAGTCTGGTCTTTTTTTGTGAATTTGAATTGTGTTCTACATTTTTCTCTCTCTGTCCGGGACCCTCTATTGAGATCCTTGTCAGAGTCATTAGTGGTGGTAGCCAAGCACCATCTAGTTCTTTTGGGCTCAGGCTGGTGGAGGCTGTGGTTCATATGGTCCATTAGTCCTTTGAACTAATATTTTCCTTGTGTCTTTGGTTTTTTTTCATTCTCCTTTGCTCCAGATGGGATGGGACCAATAGAGACAGCCACTCACAAGCTTTTAAGACACCAAAGTAGGATGTAGAATATTTTCTTTATGAACTATGTTATGCCAGCTGACCTAGATGTCCTCAAGACCATGGTCCCTGGCCCTCAGCCCCACTAACTTGGTCCCTTAAGGTGTTTGGATGTGTCTCGGAAGCTTCTATGACTTTGCCTTGGACAAGCTGTGCTGACTTCCCCTATACTGTGTGTTGTCTTTCCCGTTATCAAAGTAGGCACTTGTCTCCTATCTAGTTAGTGATTTTCCCTCCCCATCCCTACCCACACTCGTAATCATCAAAGATTGTCTTTTTCTCCCCCATGTGTAAACTTTTTCATTAGTTTTTATAATAATGGTCTCATACAATATTTGTCCTTTTGTGACTGACTTATTTCACTCAGCATAAGGCCCTCCAGATTCACCCATGTTGAGAAATGTTTTGCAGATTCATCATTGTTCTTTATCATTGCATAGTATTTCACTGTGTGTATGTATCA